TATTAGTTGTCAAATTGTTGTGTTACTTAGGGCCGTTTGCACCATGTCTAGTTAATTCTAACTCCCAGTTAAACATCTTTATCGACGTTATCGACACCCATCATATAACATGTGATCGATAAAGCAGTTAACGTGCTTAACTGAAGGATGTACCTCCAGTTAGCGTTAACTAGACATGGTGCAAACGGCCCTTAGGGTTTACACCGGACAATACTGTCATGACAATAATGTCCAAATGATGTGTTTGTTGTTATATGAATTCGCCTTGTTTGCAACAAATACATCACTTTTACATTATTGTCACGACAGGTGTAGACCCTAAGGGCCGTTTGCACCATGTCTAGTTAACGCTAACTGGATGTACATCGTTCAGTTAAGCCCATCAACTGCTTTATCGATCACATGTTATATGATGGCTGTCGATAACGTCCATAAAGAGGTTTAACTGGGAGTCATAGCCCAGTTATGCAAACTTGCACTGCTATACCATTTTTACGTAAAAATCAAAACCCAACAGAATTCTACATGTTAAGTGCTATGCGTTGGGTAACTGCTTACACGCAAAGTCCATTTAACAGATTCTTATGTGACAACTCTCATGCAAAGCTATGTATGCATAACTGGGCTATTAGAATTAACTAGACATGGTGAAAACGGCCCTAAGTAAAGTAGGCGTCCAGATAATTATAAAGACAATACAATTTTCAGCAACTNATGTGACAACACTCAAGCAATGCCAAGTATGTATAACAGAGCCTTTAGAATTAACTAGACATGGTGAAAACGGCCCTAAGTAAAGTAGGCGTCCAGATAATTATAAAGACAATACAATTTTCAGCAACCACCGTTAGGGTCGTTTGGCGTGAATTTGATATTATTTACTAAAATATCCAAACTCACACCTCTTTTCCATAATTCTGCGATTTTGTGCCTCTTTTTCTAAAATTAACTAAGACGTCCTTGTCAGGTCTCTTTCAGCATCATTCTTTTCAACATGTTTTTCCGCACAAACGGATTCAAAACGGATTGTGCGGCAATATTTCATATTCTCGAACCGATTGCATGTAGGTAGCGTTCGTTGGCTGGGTTAACTCGGCCCGAATGTCAGTCTTTGTGTGTTCGCTTTTCGATCTTCTGGTAGCTGAGGAAAAATTTACTAATAACATTTATTAATTATTTAAACAGGAAACACACTCGATTTGCCAAGAGGAAACATAAAAATTACAAGTACACACGTTTAATAACGCAAATAGCTAAACAATATGGCTGACGTAATGAACATTGATAGCATCATTTCGCGTTTGTTGGAGGTGCGTGGGGCAAGGCCTGGAAAGAATGTACAATTATCAGAGAGTGAAATTCGTGGTCTATGTCTGAAGTCGCGCGAGATATTTCTATCGCAACCCATTTTACTTGAATTGGAGGCACCATTAAAGATTTGCGGTGACATACACGGCCAGTATTACGATTTATTGCGTCTCTTTGAATATGGCGGCTTTCCTCCAGAGTCAAACTATTTGTTTTTAGGAGACTACGTTGATCGTGGCAAGCAGTCTTTGGAAACTATTTGCTTGCTTTTAGCCTATAAGATTAAATACTCCGAAAATTTCTTCCTGTTGCGTGGTAATCATGAATGCGCAAGCATCAACCGCATCTACGGATTTTACGACGAATGTAAGCGCCGCTACACTATAAAGTTATGGAAAACCTTCACGGACTGCTTCAACTGTTTGCCAGTGGCTGCTATCGTTGACGAGAAAATCTTTTGCTGCCATGGTGGTCTCAGTCCCGATTTGTCATCAATGGAGCAAATTCGCCGCATTATGAGACCTACCGATGTTCCCGATCAGGGGTTGCTTTGCGATTTGCTTTGGTCAGACCCCGACAAAGACACTATGGGCTGGGGAGAAAATGATCGTGGGGTAAGCTTCACATTCGGCGCTGAAGTGGTTGGTAAATTCCTGCAAAAGCATGACTTCGATTTGATTTGCCGTGCACATCAGGTGGTTGAAGATGGATACGAGTTCTTTGCTAAACGACAATTAGTGACGCTGTTTTCTGCACCAAACTATTGCGGTGAATTTGACAATGCCGGCGCTATGATGTCTGTGGATGACACGTTGATGTGCTCTTTTCAGATATTGAAACCGGCAGATAAACGTAAAAAATAAGCGAAACAAAAAAAAACAATCGCTGCTGCCAGTGCACTAATAAAAACATCAACAACTATATACACACTCTTAATTATGTCTTAAAAAAAATTAAGAGCAGCAAGCATGAGACGGATTATTTGTTAACATACATATTTGAAATAAAAAGTCTAATGAATACAAAAGAAAACTACCAGATTTACAGATATGATGCCAAGTGGAATACAATAGAGCAGACGAGATGAGATAAAACAAAAATAAGATATTAAAAACAATCAATTATCAAAAATACATTTTCTTAAATTTTACTTACATGTAATATGTCCAAGTTTGTAACTTATTAGAAACTTGCATGAATAAATCTAAAACAAACCGATTGACAATTCTCCTCTTTTAGATCGGATCATTTTTGGTCAAACTAAGCCTTGGTAACCATGTAATGGTAAAATGTTATAGTATTCCAAATTTGGTGAATTTAAATCAATTTAAGTAATTGTATGTGTATCCAAAAATATGCATGTCTTATAATTATGTTTTTTCGACTTAAATTGTATCCCTTCCTCATCAAGGGCAAACTTGATCCATAAAAAATTGTAAATTTAACATAAAAAATCAATTTATAACTCATTTCTTTTACTAAATTCATACTTTTATATTAAGTTTAATAACTTTTGCTTAAAAACTTGTCATGAACAATTGACCTTTAAATAAAATGTGTTTCATAACATATACATGTATATTATTATTAATAGATATCTGTATTATTAAACATGCTTCGTATGTATTAATATCTAGATACATAATACATATGCACCGTATTAAAATGAACTAAATAAATAACTATTTAGCGTCAGTATGTTTCGATTTTCCATTCGAATTTAAATTTACGAACTATTAATATTCAAATATTTATACCTATTGCGGCATCCGACGGATGACATCTGCACGGATATAATCCGATTCCAACTGTCTTAAAAAGCGAGTGAACGATTAGATTCGCGCGAATGACATCCGTCGGATACATGCCTAATACCGTACAGTGAAGTTCTATAGTTTCGGATTTCTTTCAAACGTATTTTATATAAGTCCATAACTAATTTCATTGAAGTCTGAGCCCAAATATTAATGAGTCCATTACGGATGGTAACCGAGCTTCGGTTGGGTGGCCAATAGCTTAAATGAAAATTTTCATGGCGATACTCTTATTTCTTTTCAACCGACTTCCAAAAAAGGAGGAGGTTATCAGGTCGTCGGAATATTTTTTATATTTTTTTTTTTATGTATGTTACCGCATAACCTTGGACCACGTCAACCGATTCCGATAATTCTTTTTGCATCGGAAAGGTACTAATCTGGTTAAGATCCGATCAGTGGATCATGAGATATATACACAGATGCGTGCAACTAATTAGCAACGAAATTCAAACCGATATAGCTTGCAAATTATATTTATTTATTTTTAACAATTTTCATTTAAAATATAATTCAATCTATATCAGAAACCACAATAACAAAAGTTGCAAAGCTTGCACAAATTGCAAAAAAATTAATCAAACTTCAAAAAATTGTCAATAAAATTTCAAAGTTTTTAATTAGAATATTTAGAAAATTTTCGGCTATGCAGTTTTGTAGCGCANAATTTTCATTTAAAATATAATTCAATCTATTTCAGAAACCACAATAACAAAAGTTGCAAAGCTTGCACAAATTGCAAAAAAATTAATCAAACTTCAAAAAATTGTCAATAAAATTTCAAANTTTTCGGGTAAGCAGTTTTGTAGCCCATCCAATTTTAGTATAATAAAGTGCAAGTTTCAAGTCGCTAAAAATTACCGTTGATTTTTTAGAATTTTTTTTGTCGAGGGTGTTGCGGATTTTTTTCCATGTAAAAAAATATTTTGATCATGTGTTATATGGAAGAAAATGCGCAACACCCTCCACAAAAAAAATTCTAAAAAATCAACGGTAATTTTTAGCGATTTGAAGCTTGCACTTTATTATACTAAAATTGGATGGGCTACAAAACTGCTTACCCGAAAATTTTCTAAATATTGTAATTAAAAATTTTGATGACAATTTTTTAAAGATTGATTAATTTTTTTGCAATTTGTGCAAGCTTTGCAACTTTTGTTATTGTGGTTTCTGAAATAGATTGAAATATATTTTAAATGAAAATTATTAAAAATAAATAAATAACAATAATTTGCAAGCAATATCGTTTTGAATTTCGCTTCTATTGGGTTGGTTCACAAGGTCAAAGCCGTTAGGGTTGTCGGGCTTTCCGGGCATGCGAAGAGATGTTTCGAGTTATGTGGGGTCTCTCAGCATGCCGGACACTCATTTGGCACATCCTCATTCAATCTACTCAGGTAGTAGTTTAACCTGCTGCAGTAGCCAGAGCGGGGTTGGGCTATTGTCGTTCGTGTCTCCCGAGGCAGATGAAGCTCCGCCTCGTCTATGTCCGGAGGCGGTATCCCTAGAACGGCATTCACAGGTCTAGAGTCTACATAACTCGAGACTGACTCCCTGTGAATGCCGTTCAGGGCCAGTCGGTAAGCAGACGGGTCCAGAGGTTGCTTGATGAACCTCTTGACTTCGTCCGTCAGTTCATATAGATGCCTCCCCGACGTGCCTAGGCGAGGGCTCCTCTGCAAGTAGCTGTCTGTTTGGGTGGCCACTTCTGTGGCTCCCGATCAGGAACTGCTTGCAGAGCATTATGTTGTGCTCCTTTATGGGGAGCATTTGTGCCTCGTTGCGGAGATGATGTTCGGGCGACATCAGGAGGCATTACATTTTACTATTAACTTATTTCGGTCTAAGGAAGTGCTACTACAACAATGAAACAAATGATTTTGGCTCGGCATCGATTCGATATGATGTATGATAACTTCACATATCACTTTATTAAGATTGGTATAATGAATGTATACATATAGTACTTTCTTTAGGAATAAGGAACTCAGCTAGGTACTTTTTCGTACATAAGCTTAAACATTATGGACGGGTTAATTATTTCAAGAGCTATTGTCTACGACTTGTGCTGCATTTGCTGGCAAAGGATTATTACCATTAATGGTATCCCCAGGTGTTTCTAAATTTGTATCCTGATCTTCGGGCTGAATACTATCTTTTCCCAACGGGGCTTCGCACACAGTCGCTTCTACTGATTGAGACTTTTCCCGTGGTTTTGATATTGAAACTATAGACTTTTCTCGATTTTCCAAAGTTGTTTCCTCATCGTTTTTCCCAACCTCATCCCGTGGTTGTTGCTGCTTGTTCAGTGCATCTGGGTTGACGCTTTCGATCATGCCCCGAAGTCGTTGAATTTCACTACGCGCTTCTTCAAGTTCACTTTGCAAATAAACCATACTATCTGCTTGATGTAGAGAGTCGCCCAAGTTATAGCGCAAATACTCAAGTGGATTTTCTGGGCGTTCTTTTACGATCCGAACAAATACTTTCGTCAAGGCTTCTATGACACCGGATCTTTCGAGATAGCGTCGAAACTCATCGCGTTTTGGATCTATAGGCTACAAATAAACATTTCTGATAAAAGAGGGGAATATAATATATTAGTTATATACCTTGAAAGCCATGCTTTTGGAGATATCAGTCGTGATAGTGTCAGAAACAATCGGCACGAAAATCTGTGCAACAGGATTTCAATAACCACTCTATAAGAGCCTGGCAATATTTCCGTCTTTCGCAAGCAATTCGCTGTCAAATTGAGAAAGAGAAATTTTATTTCGATGTGTGAACAGCCAGAACGATCTTTCTGTAACTTTTCGGAAATCGGTAAAAGTGCACTTTAGCGAAGGTAGGTCAAAATGGACGGAAAAAGTTCGAGAGTGGTATCAATCGACGCGTCTTAACGCCAATAATAACAATCCGAGACCGGAAATTAACATTTTTAATTAATTAAAGAGTTATTTGCGAAAAAACATTTGCACTTTTCGCACTATGTTTTGATGAATTTCTCGCGAATGAATGGCATAAATGAACTTCATTTAACACGTATTTATTAGTTGTTATACATTTGTGATGTTTTAAGTGTACACTTTCGCGAAATTCTGTATTTAATGGGAATATTCCGATGGTGAAAATCCGCACAACAATCTTGCGTAGTTAATATAAATAACATGGAGGGAAATGAGTGTTGACACTCTATTAATACAATTTGTATTTCAACTTTAAAAACACCCACATAATGCATAAAGCTGATGCCAGATAAAANTAATAGAGAGGCAGCATTGTGGCGGATTGTTATTATTGGCGTTAAGACGCGTCGATTGATGCCACTCTCGAACTTTTTCCGTCCATTTTGACCTACCTTCGCCAAAGTGCACTACTACCCGGAAATCAGTTTCAGAAATAAAAGTGGCAAGGTGTGACTGCAACTGCATGAACGAAAATCGATTTCGGAAATATATTTCAACTTGCTCGTGATGCACTAGCAATTTTTATTTCTTATGCAAGTGTTGTCAAACTAATCGAGTGTTGCCGTGTGGCACTGATCGTGAATTTGTGTAAAATGATAAAAAATATTGTTGAATTAAATATCAAAAATGCTTGAAATATATTATTTTGCTTATTATACTTAATCGTTAAATTATTGTTCACACGGCAAATATTACGTCAAGTATCTATTTTTCGCGTTTTCGTTCTCGTTTTTACAAGAGAAATAGCAAACAAACGGCAACCCCACCGCCCATGGTTGCATTTTAGTATAGTGAAAGATTGCCAGAAACTCATCCGCTGTGTGAACAGCCAAAAAGCAATTTCAGACATTCTTTCCTGCAATTCGACTTTCGGAAATAAAAACCTCTTTCGAAAGACACTTTCCATGCAAGGTGACTGCTCATGCAACTGATTTCTCAATTTGACAGCCTTTCCGAAATTTATTGCATCGAAATATATTGCCACGTCTGACACGCTTTTATATACAGTAATAGGGCTTTCGCACGCAGCGATTTTTCAGGCAACTTTTAGTTGAAAGCAAAAATCGCCTCGTCGAAACGGCCTTTCAACTAATCGCTTTCCGACGTTACCGACACCGTGTTATATGCATGGAGTCGAAAACGTCGATAACGATGTTAACCGATGATTAGTGTGATTAGCACAAATCGGAGGTAGAAGCTCCGGTTAGATACAACGACTGCTTTATCGAGCACATGTTATATGCATGCTGTCGAAATCGTCGATAATGATGTTTAACCGGCAAGTAGTGATAACCAGACATTGAACAACCGGCCCTAAGGGCCATTTACTCAATATGTGGTTAACACTAATCTCCGTTTAAACATCATTATCGACGTGTTCGGCTCCATGCATACACTATGACACTAAACTAAAAAAATAAGATAATTTAACTATTTCGTGAACTAGTACATAGAGGATCTTTAGTCGTGTTTCTGAGAAAATGCATTCCAAACTTCAATCGTGAGTTACCGAAAGTAACTTGTGACAATCTTTTATCCAGGCGACGATATAGCATTTAGCTAAAATATGCATCTAAATAAATTATAATTGTCCTTATTTTCGCTGTTGGAGTATATGCCAGACGAGTAACAGGTATACAAGTATACCTAAATTAGCGCGTTGAGCTTGTATATTTATCTCTCTCTAACGCATTAATTCTATATACGTCAGCACCAACGCACGACAAAGTTATGTCTGTATTTAATAATGGCTTTATGACAAATAATTCATGAAATGTATTCGTGGATTTTTATTTACTCTCATTTCAAACATTAGTATTGATCTGAATGATTTTTACTAAATATTTAATAAAAACTATTTCATTTAGCTTAACCAACTTTTAGTTGCTCGGAGCTAATTTTGGAACGCTTCATGAAATATTTTCATAGACAATAAATGCAACCATGGGTGCATCATTAATGAGCTGAAAAATCAAATAAATAAAAAAATTNACTTCAATCGTGAGTTACCGAAAGTAACTTGTGACAATCTTTTATCCAGGCGACGATATAGCATTTAGCTAAAATATGCATCTAAATAAATTATAATTGTCCTTATTTTCGCTGTTGGAGTATATGCCAGACGAGTAACAGGTATACAAGTATACCTAAATTAGCGCGTTGAGCTTGTATATTTATCTCTCTCTAACGCATTAATTCTATATACGTCAGCACCAACGCACGACAAAGTTATGTCTGTATTTAATAATGGCTTTATGACAAATAATTCATGAAATGTATTCGTGGATTTTTATTTACTCTCATTTCAAACATTAGTATTGATCTGAATGATTTTTACTAAATATTTAATAAAAACTATTTCATTTAGCTTAACCAACTTTTAGTTGCTCGGAGCTAATTTTGGAACGCTTCATGAAATATTTTCATAGACAATAAACGCAACCCTGGGTGCATCATTAATGAGCTGAAAAATCAAATAAATAAAAAAATTCCATCTGAACCAATAATCCCAAAAATTATAAAGCGAAACAAAAACCATTTTTGCAATTTATGCACTGTTATTTTTATTATTGCAATACAGTTTCGTAGCTCTTCAAACATTTTCCACATTATGCTTTTAAAGCTAGTAGTTTCTGACCCCATTTGCTCGTTTTTTTTCAGTTCTGAATTTAGGCTAGGTTTCATGGGAACTTACTGTGGGTGCAAACAGACCACATTTTGTAAATATGTACATATGTATACACTTCAACTGAATTGTGATATTTAATTTTATTTTATAATGAAAAATGAATTTAATGTGCAATTCTTTAAGTTTACTAGATGTAAGTCAATTTTTAATTTTCTTTATATATTGCATGCTTTAGTTTTAATTATTTTTAAGTTAAGTTGTAAAGGTTAAAATAGGCCTCCTGGGGAACCGAGCACCTTAAAAAAAATCGGTGACGCGCCTAAAAGCATACACAAGTGGTGTGGAAAATGCAAGAACAAATATAAAATATAAATGGAATGGNTAAATGGAATAATGGAATGGTTATTGGTATTTTCCATCTCAAAGGGGATGATTAATTTGAATATTTAAGCTGCCTTTACACGGTCGATTTTTGTCGTTTAACCAAAATCTACCCGTGTAAATTGCAATTCAATCGTAAAATGTAAGCGTTTTGGCTAGTCGATATCTTAGTCAATTTTTCAATCGACAGACTTCAGGAATTTTTTAATTTTCTTTTTTTTTGCTTGGGCGTCTTTTGAAGATGTGCCAAATTATATTGTCGCCTTAAATACAAAACAAATTTCTTTAAGCCATCTTGCNCTAGATGTAAGACAATTTTTAATTTTCTTTATATATTGCATGCTTTAGTTTTAATTATTTTTAAGTTAAGTTGTAAAGGTTAAAATAGGCCTCCTGGGGAACCGAGCACCTTTAAAAAAATCGGTGACGCGCCTAAAAGCATACACAAGTGGTGTGGAAAATGCAAGAACAAATATAAATGGAATAATGGAATGGTTATTGGTATTTTCCATCTCAAAGGGGATGATTAATTTGAATATTTAAGCTGCCTTTACACGGTCGATTTTTGTCGTTTAACCAAAATCTACCCGTGTAAATTGCAATTCAATCGTAAAATGTAAGCGTTTTGGCTAGTCGATATCTTAGTCAATTTTTCAATCGACAGACTTCAGGAATTTTTTAATTTTCTTTTTTTTTGCTTGGGCGTCTTTTGAAGATGTGCCAAATTATATTGTCGCCTTAAATACAAAACAAATTTCTTTAAGCCATCTTGTGCAGCAATTTTTTGATCTTATCCTCACGGCTACCGAAATCACCAACCTCAACGTAGTGATTAGCCTTCTTGTGCCAGCCTCGGGTTGGTGTTGAGCTTAAATAGCAACAGGAAGTTGGAGGATTTCTTGAAGTGGGTTCCAACAGTGAATATTTCGTGCGCCAAATAATCAACGCACTGAAATTCATGCGAAATTTGCGTTCGACCACAAAGTAGAGATTGGGACACGTTGATGGTTGTGCTTGACAATTCAACGTTTGTACATCAATTCACGAACTGATTTACGATTTGGATAACCCCATATAGGGTTCGGCATACGTAGCAATATTAATGGTTGCCTTGTTCAATTTGATGAACACCGATTTAATGTGGCTAAGACGGAACTGTAAAACTTTACGCACTTTTGGTGCAACTTTGTTCATACCGCGGATACGGAACACAAAAGCCAATTACGATTTTTCAAGCCCGTAGAACTGGCCGCGTTTC